TTGGTCAGAGCACCATTTAGCAGTCTCACATATTAAGTAACAGAGTTGGGTAATTCAGGTCCAGAGGGTAAAAGTCCAGACCAGGATTTTGTTTCAGCCAGTTGAGCATAAAGAGTCATAGACTATTCAACTGGTTGGACTTTTATTCTCTGGATCTGAATTATCCAACTCTGTTAAGGAACTGCCTCTCTCCCCTTGATTTCTCTGCAAGTTTCTGATTCCTCAGAAGAAATATTTGAAGCACAAACACTGTTATCAATTTATATAGCTGATGTCCTCCACAACCCTTGAATGCTGGGTTATGTCTGCAGACTACACCAACAGGCATCAAATAAGTCTACTTTTGTTTAGAATTTTATTTGGACTGTTAAGACAAGTTAGTTACATGCATTTTCAATGTATGAGGTAATGCCATTTGCATTTGATTATATATGGTTAGAGGGTTTTTTTGCAGTTTTTTCTCAGAACATGGATCCTTACACGTAGTCTTATAGACATTAATAGAATCAAACAAATTATGCAACTTAACATGTTTCCAGAAATATAACCAATATATTTTTGACCAATAACAATCACAAGCCACTGTGAATATTAACGAAGAGTGATTGAGATACTATAATATTGCTATACGACACTTTTTCCATCAACAAAAGGTAGAGAGTTAAGTGAATCTACTTAGTATTTTTTGTTGTTCGGGAGGATGTTGTTTATATAGATTTGGCTAATATATATGGTAGGTTGTGGAATTAAAAATGATACACAATTCCTAACAGGGAACTAATGTGCTCCACAAAAACATCCTCCATACATTTACATCACCAAATAAAAAAAAATCTCACAAGAATAGTGATTTTTTAATTCGAGCAGTCTGTATATAGGTGGAATACTAAACTTCAGCAGGAGTGGAAGTTCTGGCCTTCAGTGGTCTTCTGTGCACGTAGCCCATCCGTTTCAGTGTTCGACGAGTTGTGCGCTCAGAGATGCCTTTCTGCGCATCAGTGTTGTACTGAGCTGTTATTTTTGCAATGGTAGCCTTCCTGTTGTCGTCAATGATTCTGGACATCTTCCTCTGGCCTTTCTCATCCACAAGGTGTTTTCGCCCACAGAGCTGCCGCTGACTGGATGTTTTATTGTTATTACACCATTCTCTGTAAACTCTAGCCACAGTAGTTCGTGAAAATCCCAGAAGGGTGGCCGTTTCTGAGATGCTGGAACCGCTACGTCTGGTACCAACAATCATGCCTTGTTCAAACTCACTCAGATCATGCTTCTTGCCCATTCTACAGCTTAGTCAAACAGTCACTGAACTTCTTGATGTCGTCAGTGAATTTTATACTGAGTCGCATCCAAAGGAGTTATTGATCACTTTTGCTAACAGGGACCCTAATGAAGCGGTCAATGAGTGTATATAGCTGATCACCCCTAATAAAGGAAACCTGTCAATTGAAATTAGTAAAATGCATTCAGAATCGACAGATCTTCAGGTGTTTTGCTTGGTGAAAGATGATCTGATGGAGAGAGAAGCAAAAACTAAAATGAAATAAACAGGAAGATTTACCAAAACCATATGATTCAGTCTTGTACAACAAATAAAAGTAGAGACCCCTCAGTAGAACACCATTACCTACCTTCTTAAAGGCCTTGACCATTTCTTACTGTCATAGTCATCAGCTGTTCTCTGAACAGTAGACTGTTTTCTTGCTGTTCAGTTTCTGTATTCTTATGTGGATGTAGTCTTCTGTTCCAACTTAAAGACAATCATCCTCAGTTGCATCAGCAAAGCAATCTATAGGAGAAAATACAGGAAATGGTACTGATAGCAGCAGTTGATAAGTTCAAAATTAACAACCAACAAATTTATTGCACACACATAATTGTTTCACTTATGACCGTTAAGAAGTTGCAGCTTTCGATTTCACAGTGGTTTTGCACAAAATTAGTAAAAGTAAAAAAAAAACAAAACACTGGGCCCAAATCATTTTAGAAATCACTACTTCACATTTAGACAAGACCTGCAGATTTGACCAATCATGGCAAATATCAATCCAGTAAAACAGCTAAATTGGTTGTGGTGCAACATACAGCAGGTATAGCACATACTACCACCCCACAGTTTCTAACCACCAATACAGTGACAGTCATAAATAAACGAACAAATGCAACGACCAATGGTGTAACATGTTGGGGTTTAGTTTGTCATCGTAAGTAAACAGACAAAACTACAGAAACCTAACAAAACAATCCGCTAACAGCCAGATTGCAATATATTAAACTACCATTTGCTACGCAGTACAGGACCGAGTACGGCTCATTTTTACTCCGCTAGTCTTGCAAATGCAATGGTATTACAGCAGTACGAAGGACAGAGATATATAATTGCTTGATTATTACCACCGTTAGGTTTTGTGCGTTTTCAGGCCAACAGTTTGCCTTTGTAATATTTTACCACTTGCTGCACGTCGCAACAGATATGAATGAAAAACTCGCAGTAATGTTAGCTGCAAGTCTGTGAATATAACATCACATCTGGACCCTCATATAAATCTGTTTACGTGCCCATACGTGGAGAGATTTTCAATCTTCTCACCGAAAGTCTGGATATTCGTTTCTCTTTGGAAAGACAACGGAGTCTCGCGCTTTTTGATCTTTTTTTAATTGTAATATGAGTGCCGTACAAAATTTCTCAGTCTTTCCAAAATGGTGCTTTGTATTGGTTTGTCGCTGCCCGATCAGCGGCCGAATGAGCAGTGAGCACTGGTTTCGCGCATGCGTATACCGCGAGACATTTTACGACAAAGCTACCATCCAGGTAATACTTTACGACATTACAAAATAACATCCGTAAACAGCCGTTCATGTTATATATTGTGTTAATAGTGCATTGGATATTTGGAAAGTTTTACACAAATATACAGTTTAAAAGTATGAAAAATTGAACATTTTAAAGTGCCTAAATCCATCTTCCTTTTCTTTGAACATGTTGGCTTTACGCTGAGAACGTACAGCCCTTGTCAAGGCTTGTGCTCTTGGAGAGATATCTTGCTATCTTGTCTCCCAAGAACGAACTTGGGACGCTATGAATCATGGGATTGTTCTCATTGATGAAGATGCAACCAATGCATCCCTGATATCTGGGACTGGGCAAGAACGACATCTAGGGATTTTTACCGTCCTTCGTACTTCTGCTCTTTTATTGGAACTGTACTTCGGCAATGGGTACGTGAGAATACCAGTCTGTGTTCATTCCAGGGGCGTTTCAAGCTATTGAAAAGTTCAGGGGCTAAGTCAAGCCTTTACTTTTTTTTTTAAGGAAGATTGGCATCAGGGCTAAAATATTTGGCCCGAGTGATCGGACCTAATGACGCCCATGTTTCAGCCTACATTTAGCCGCGGACGCAGATATTCCTGGTCCATACATGCATACAGCAGTAATATTCCACCAGACCAGGAGAGGGCAGATGTATTGCGAAAAACATAAATGTATGCAGTGTGGTGAAACAGGGTGGACTTTTTATGAACAAGTTGTTCGGCTTGGGCGGTATTAAAGTAATACGGCATACTGGTATTTTGAAGTACTTATGTCAAAATTAACCAGGGACAGCCACTAATCAGCGAATTTTATCGCTCACCATAACAACAAGAACAACAACAAACATTCTTCCTCCACTCTTTCTTGGTTAATCTCTGCTCTCTGAAAGTTGGCGCTGCCACCTACCGGAAATACCTAGTCAATTATTTAGCACGTGCACGATGGACGCGCACGGACACGCATGATCGCCGCTGGACAAAAAAAATCGCGGCTGCACACACAGGCGCATGCTCCTCGTTCACACATGCATACACCACATCACGTAAAGGTCACTCACCGGTCAGTACCACATGCACAAACATTTTGCTGTACATGAACTAAGTAGTGTTTGTTTTCGTTTGAAGTGTGGGCTGTGCTACATTTCTGCGGGGTCAATTGCATCAAGCAGGTTTAGCACCTAACCCATATGGTACCTCAGAGTTAGTTAAACTTGGCATTTTTTGTTTCCAGAAACCTAGATCAGGTAAGCATGCATCAGTTATCATGCTCTGAACCAAACCTGGTTTTAGCTTTAGCTGACGGGAACTTAGGGTTTAAATGCCTTGGCCTTGCCTTTGCTGTATTTCACCCTCCTGCGTCAGGTTTTGAGGTGTCAAAAGACATTTTGACAGCGTATTTAGGAACAAAATAGATTCTTTAAGGTCTGCCATCACAGCACTATTGTACGATCCATCTGTGCCGGTTCATTGCCCTGTTTCTGTAGGACATTTAGAACCGGTCTCACTTGTGGTTTTGCTTGAAGTAGTAGGCACTCGAAAATCTGCAAACCGTATCTCAGACATCATTCCTGCTAATCTACTTAAGTGTACGCTTGATGTGACTGGGCCAAGAATTTCAAATATTATTAATAGCTCTCTCCGTACAGGTTCAGTCCCAGGTCATGTTAAACATGCGGTTATTTGCCAGCTTCTTAAAAATCCCCATTCTGACCTTGTGAACTTGCTAATTTTAAGCCTATATTACAGCTTCCTTTTACTGCCAAAATTTTTAAAGAATATTATTTTGATTCAATTAACTACTTATCTTGCTTCTAATGACCTGATAGAACTTCTTCAAACAGGTTTAAGACCCATCACAGCACTGAGACCTTTTATATTATTACAAACAACCATTTCTTAGTAATTGTTCACAACCATCACATACATTATGAAATAAAGACAACTTTACTAACAAATTTCATTTGTGAGCTCTATTTCTTGTGATCAAAAAACAATATATATTTCACAGTTAAGAAACATCCATCTTCTGACAACCATGAAACTAAACTTTAACTGGTGTTCAAGTGATCCAGTTTCTTAACTAGTTTTTAAAAAAGATTAATATACTCCATCTGGAGATCACACTTTTTATTTGGTTCACCAGATGGAGCTTGCAAAGCTTAACAGGCAGCTAGGAAGAAAACATTTTGTTAATCCTGGGTTTCTTGATTTCATACTTTCATTTATCTGCAGGACACTTAGCTATTTCGTCGAGGTGGATAACTCTCATCATCTTGGGATGGATCAGCCAAACTCTGTTAGAGCACAATAAGCATGTGCTACAGCAAGTAAATAAAAATAAGATATTGACATGCATGATAATCAAACAGATTACCCTCCCCAGATATCCCCTCACTGAATAGGCAGAAATGGTCTCATCTTCCTTTAATGAGTACTTCATTTATATAACACATTCAACACTAACAGGGAAAATCTAAGGAATATTTAATCACCTACAAAAGGCTTTGTCGTGGCACCTAGAATCTTGTTAACAGGCTGATTAAGCTGTCGCTCACTGGGAAAATAAAAATGATTAGATTTAAAAGTCAGTGTCAATTATGTCAAAAGTACTCAGGGATGTGTAATCTCCAATCACTTCAGTTCCAAAAAATGTGGTTGCAACAGATCTATTATTTATGTAGGAATGTATGTGCTGGGATGTATAGTTGTCTCTGAGGAGCTACCTGCCGGGATGCCTTCAGTTATAGGGCATCTGCTGTTTTGGAAGAGCACATGCTCTTTTGCTGGGATGAGAGGAGCTGTTTGCTGTCCACCTGCTGAACAGGCCTGCCGTGACAGAAATTCAAACTCTCAAACAAATCTTTCTAGGAAGCACACCATACCTTGGTTAATATGTAAAACCACTTACCTTTTATTCGCTTCTCTAGTGTGTGACGGCTCTTTGCCAGAAACAGGAGTCATGCATAACTAAGCCTGTCTATATATATAAATCACTGATGGAACATATCTGTTAAATAGACAAATAAGTGCTTCTTTAGTTACAAATACACAATGCTTCAGTTACTTGGAAAGCGGGTTTAGCAAACAGCTAACTGCTAATTACTGAATTCCCTAGGGGGAAAGGTTCAAAGCTAATGCTCTACGATGAATTTAGGAGATATAGCTTTTTTTCACATCTAAAAAGCAGAATGGCCTTTAACAATCTTCATACACTAAGTTACTTATGCACACTATACAAACAGGCATCAAATAAGTCAGGTTTTGTTTTGATTTTTATTTGGATTATTCAGACAAGTTGATTACATGCATTTCCAGTATCTGAAGGAATGACCTATTTTTCTTTAATATTTATGGCTGGAGGGTTACATCTTTGCAGAGATTTGCATGCCTGAAGCCAAATTTTCTCTGGATATGGATCTTTGCAAGCAATCTTACTAATTATCCAAGTTGCAAAGATGGCCAGACATGGAAACCCATTCACCAAGTCACATTAATACAGTACAGTTTTGGCAGTAGTATCTCTACCATCAAAATCAGAGACCGATAACAGGAAGTATTAGCTAGTGTTTTACTTGATTCATCACAAGTTTATCATCTTCAATAAGCTGACTCAAACACTGTATATTGTAGACATTTATAGCATGAAAAATAAGTAAATAATGCCATTGAATCAGTAGCCTACATTGCAACATACATTTTACCAATAAGAATCACAAACCATTATGAATGGCAACAAAAAAAATGCAATAATATATTAAAAAAGGAAGGGCAAGGTTACACAGCTGGGTAAAACTGCTTGTATCTCTCTTTTGTGTTTGGGAGGAGGTTCTGTGTATAAATGTATATTTTGCACCCCAAGGAATGCACCTGCACGTTTATTTTGACTGCATTCAAGTTCACTTTTCTTCACACAGAATACTATGGCCCATGCTGACTCAATAGAATTATGCAATTCCTGCAGTTTTTTCCAGTTCCATGTCTTCCCAAATGTGCTGGAAATGGATCGAAATCTGGGAACTATGCCAGCATCCAAGTAAACCAAACTTACAGTCACCATCACCTTAAGGTGCTGTGTGCTTGGTGACACAGCACATTATCCTTCTGGAAAGCAGCGCCTTGAGAAACAGCACACGGTGGCAATGATATTCTGTGGCATTTAAAACGATGCACAACTCAGTAATGTCTGCCAAGAAAACATCTTTTACACATCAAACTCACTCAGATCATGCTGCTTGCCCATTCTACGGCTTAGTCAAACAGTCACTGAACTTCTTGATGCCGTCTGTGTGCTGCATAATGAGTTGGAAGCAAAGAAATTGCTGTTTGGAGGAGCAGGTTGTTTGCGCTAATGAGCAGGTGAAGCTAAAAAGGTAGCTATAGAGTGTACATAGCTGATCACCCTCTTCTCAAAGTGCACAAAACTATGTGAAGTCACTATTATAAGAAATCCCGCCGGGATTGTGAAGGATTAAGGCAAGTTGAGAAACACCGGAATGCAGCAGCATTTAGAATCTGTGGAACTTCAACTGTTTGTCTTGGCGAAAGAAGATCTTTTAATACAGAAGCACTTAGAGCAGATAAATCATAATTGCTAGTTTGTTGGAACTACATGGGAAAAAAAACATTGGCTAAACTGGTGTTTGAGGTTTCATGCCTATATATGTGTGGCCTAGTGGCCGACCTTCACTGATTGCACGTTTCATCAGTAAGAGTGTGAAGATTGAATTAGCACAGTAACAGCACGGCTGTACATAAAATATTGCAATGCACATACATGTAAAATACGTGGAAACATATCAGAGTTCAAAAGAGGACACATTTTTGGTGCGTGTCTCGCTGGTGCATCTGTGACCAGGACTGCAAGTTATTGTGTTATATAGAGTGTCAAGGTAATGTTGGTATAGCACCATGAAGAACGGACCACATCCAACAGGAATACTTAAGGATGCAAGAGCAAGCTGCCTGAAAGAGATGTCCGGGTTTTAACCCGAAAACACAAAACCACAGC